CTGATTTGTTCATTTTAGCCACTCTGACCGGCGTGAGGTGGTATCTAAGTGTGGTTTTGATTTGTATTTCCCTGATGAAGAGCAACGTTGAACATCTTTTCATGTGCCTGTTGGCCATCTGGATGTCTTCTTTAGAGAAGCGTCTATTCGTGTTTTCTGCCCATATCTTCCCTGGATCGTTTGTTTTTCGGGTGTGGAGTTTGGTGTAAAAAGTCACCTGGAGGGCTTGTGAAAACACAGATTACTGGGCCCTACCCCTGAGGTTTTCTGACTCAGTAGGTCTGGGTGGGGCCTGGGCATTTGCATTTCTGGTAAGTTGCAAAGTGATGCTAATGCAGGGGCCACACTCGGAGGACCACTCATCCAGGCATCTGTTGGGTGGGGGGATTTGTCCTCCGTGTTTACATCCGTGCATCAAGGGTTTCTTGATCACTGCCCACATTCTGGCCATTCACTACAGGCAGTGCCGCGCTGAACTGACATCAGTAATGACGAAAATGGGGTTTTTAAATGACTGAACTTGGAATCAAATCTAGCATCTGCCATCCCCTAACTGTACACTCTCAATCCAATCCTTCGTCTTGTTTGCACAATGAGCGTAGCGATACCTGTCTCTCTAGACTGCTTTGAACTTTTTTTTAATTTAAATTCAAGTTCGTTAACATACAGTGTAGTCTTGGCTTCAGGAGTGGAACCCAGGGTGTCATCTCTTGTGTATGACACCAAGTGCTCATCCTGAAAAGTGCCCTCCCTCATGCCCATCACCCATTTAACCCATCCCCCTTCACCGCCCCCAGCAGCCTTCAGCTTATTCTCTGTATTTAAGAGTCTCTTATGGTTTGACTCCCTCTGTTTCTATCTTCTTTTTCCTTCCCTTCCCCTATGTTCATCTGTTGAGTTTCTCAAATTCCACAAATCATATGGTATTTATCTTTCTCAGACTGACTTAAATCAACTAGCGTAAGACCCTCTAGTTCCATCCACGTTGTTGCAAATGGCAAGATTTCATTCTTTTTCATCGCCGAGTAATATTCCATTGTATACATTGAAATTTAAAAGCAAAAAAGCATTAAAAAAAATAGTACTGTGAGAAAGCACCCACCATACCACCTAGCTAGTTCTCAATACATAGTTATTTTTTAAATATGTATCTATGTCAACTAAATATATACGTTATAATTAAATATCATTTATATTTTTATATAATTTCTACATTATTTATATGGATGAGTATGCATGGTATATTTTATGCATACGTAAACACGTGTCCATATTTTATTTCTATGGGTGGAGAGGCAGTGTGGGGCATGGGCATGTCTGGTAGTTCCTTGGGCAAAGGTCGGATGAGGCAACAGTGGGAAGACATATTTGAATCATCTTGGGATCCTCCTCAGAGCTTCGAATGTAATAGACGCTTGAAAGTTGCTTCTTGCCTAAGTAAGTAGATGGGTGACAAGTGAAAGAGTAGTGACCACACTACACAAAAGGTTTAATTCTGTCATCCTAACCTCCTTCAAAGTTAGAAAGAAGGGTGACACTCACTTTCTGGTGACCCTCTTTTACGTGTGACTCCACTGAGGAAACAGCAATCTTAATAATCGCCGTGCTGATCGATCCCACCCATGGATTCTTGATGCTGTCCTGGGGAGTAGACTCTGTACGTTGTTCATGGTTCACTGGCATATTTTTTATGCCAGTGAACGAACTGTTCTTTGGCTCTTAAAGCAAGACATCAGTGGTTCGCTAGGCAACCAGTGGTTCTTGGGACGTCAAACGTTTGCAAATATGTATAGATCAGGATTGTATTGTAATTAGGAGAGTCTAATATTTGGTGCCATCAAATTCCCTTTTGAGATTTAAAATCCTTTACCATCACTAAATTCTGTTTATTGGAGGAAGGGCCATTGGGTTAGATATGATTTTTTTTTAATTTTTCATGTTTATTTATTTTTGAGAGACACAGAGTACGAGTGGGGGAAGGGCAGAGAGCGAGGGAGACACAATCCGAAGGAGGCTCCAGGCTCTGAGCTGTCAGCACAGAGCCCAACGCGAGGCTTGAACCCACCAACTGGGAGATCGTGACCTGAGCCGAAGCCGGACGCCCAACCTTGGGACTGAGTCACCCAGGCGCCCCTAGATATAATTTTTAAATATTCTCATTCTTACAACTGACAGGACCTCAGCAGAAGGGAGATGATGAGCATACCTTTGCTTGTCATTCAAAAATAGTTTCCTGAAAAGGGGGGAAATAGTAAGAGTTTAGAGTTCTTATGAAAAATACCTTCAGCCATTATCAGTCTGGTCCGTGCAGAGCAAAGCTCCCCGCCATTTAATGATACTCCTTAGTAGTCTGCTTAGCGTCAGCATGAATTTGGGTGGCCGAGAGGTCTTCTATTTAGCACGTTTCTCTAGACCAGTCCTATCTCCCCATCTAGCTTTGAAGCAGCTCTTCCCTCTGCCTGGAATGTTCCTCCTCCAGATGCACCCACAGTGTGGTCCCTCACCTCCTTCAGATGAGAGCTTCAAATGCTACCCCCATACACACCCAGTGATGTCTCTCTCTACCACCCTTCCTAAAAGTTCAGTTCTTCCCACACACATCCTTTCCTCCTTGCCTGTTTCATTTTTCTCTTTAACATCCCTTTCTAGCACACTTCATTGGCCCCCTTACCTTATGCATTACCCACCTGCCCGGCTGGAATGGAAGCTCCATGATAATCAGGATTTTTCAATGCTTTGTTCACTGCCCACCCCCCACCATTTCTAAGAGAAATAGAAACTTCCCATCATGCAGGTAACTCTACTTCTGAGAGCATCTAGCAGACACGCGAACGCATTTGTGCCAACAAGGATCTGTTCCCCTCTCCCAAACGTTCTGAAGTTTAAGTCCTGGACTTAAACTAATCCCATCCATCTTCTTACTGTCTATCCCTCTTCTTTAGTCTCATCTCTCCAAAGCCCAATATGCATTTGACATTTTGCAAGACAGTGAGACGGGAGGGTCTGGGGCTGGCCTCGGCCCCTAAGCCTTTAGCCTCCGAACACTGGTGGACGTTCTCCACCCATTTGTGAAACACGGTGGTTCGCTGATCTTCTCTCAACTAGTGTTGTTCTTGCTCTCAACCCTTCCTGAGCTTCACCGGTGACCCTACTGCCTTTTCTAGTTAACCATGAAAACATTCTAGAAAGCTGTTCCTTTCCAGAATGCACTGATAAGAGTTCATCACAACACCTGGCTGCATAGCACATGAGAACAAGGTTTAGTGTCTGGATCAGGCCCTGAGCTACGTAAGTGTCCTAGGACTGTCAACACAGAAGGAGGTCTGATCCTTTGCCTTGATGAAACGTATTCCGTTGCAAAGGGAACAGCTCTCGATTCCCTGCACAACATACCGTTGTCTTGTCAACACAAAGCACTTCTAAATGGATAAAATTAGAATTTTCAGGTGATCATCACTTGAAGCTATTCGGCATCATTTTGATATCAAGAGTAATCTGTCTGCCAAGGGAGGTTCTAAAGATTTCGAAAGGAACTTTGTGACAGCACTAGAAGTAAGCCTTGCTTTGTTACTATTACCTCTCCATCCAATGCAAGACATGGGCTTATTCATTTATTTGTAGATTCGAATTCTACTCCAGAGTTAATCACCCGAGATGGATAAAACACATTAGGGGGGGATAAGACAGTGTTACCAGTTTATTAGCAGGAAATGATCCTGATCTCAAAATTTGCCAAATTATATTGAATGGTGGCTGGTCTGACATCTTTAGGGATACATCCAGCTTGCATTGGCTTGGCCAGTTGATTAGAATCCGGTCATAATGTCACCCCATAAACGTCCACATGGAAAGAGGGTGTTCAGGCTTGCCGGTCAACAGGCCCTACTTCCTCACTAAATAGCCGAACCTTCTGAGTTTCTGGCATCCTTGCCCCTCATAACCATCGCTGCCTCAAGATAAGAGAAAATGCATCTGAATAAAGAGTGAGCTACTCTATGTGTGTTGGGTGACACTAACTGCTGTAGGAAACAAGCCCCTAATTTTCAGTGGCTTATCATAATAGAGGTGGGTTTCCCACCCAGATGACACTCCGAGGCTCTAAGCTGCCGGTGGCTTCCCTCCCAGCAGGGAGTCAGGACCAGACGCCCCCTCCTAGGACATTGCAATACCCTGAGCTCAGCTGACGGAGGGGAACGAAAGGACCTGAAGAGCCACAGTCCCCTTACCTTCAACTGGAAGCATTCCGCATCACTTCACCTCTGTTCACGTTCCATTGCCGAGAATTAGTCCTCTAGCCCATCCTGGAGCAAGGGGGTGGGGCAGCCCCTCTGGACCATGGAAGGCGGAACATGAACTATGCCGGGAAGGTTGGCCAACTTTGCCACATCCACTGTAGCCCTGGTGTTTTGAGGCAAGAGCAGGGCCCACACTTCCAGTCCCCTGCATTTTCTTACAGCTCTGCTTTCAGAGGCAGTGATCTGCCCTTCGTAGACACGAATGCCAGCCTCAGCCGGCCCTCAACTACAGTGGGGTTGTGTCCATGGAACCGAGGAAGTGATACGCACAGTCATTTGTACCTGTCTCTTCCTTGTGCTTTCCAATGAGGACACTGGTGTGCATTCGTATTACAAGCTGCAGGTCCCAAGGACTCGTTTTTTGTTGTTGTTGTTGTTGTTGTTGTATCGTTTCGTGTGGAACTGTTCATGATTGTCCATCATGAGATGCTGTACAAATTTGTCGATTTGAAAACGGTCAGAAGAGGATTTGTTTTTTGGTAGAGCACTTCTTCCTTGGGAGCGTGGGCGCCGTATGGGGATAGATCTCAGGATGTAGCCGAGTGCGCCTCGTTTTATGCCGGGCAACTGAGCCTTGGTTCACTGGGACTAACGGTGGACATGTGGGCAGCGCTCGCCAGCGAGCCCCGTGAATCTCTGCACGAGAACAGGCTCAAGAAGCCACTCTGTGCCTCGACGGCTGACCGTTTCAGCTCTTCTCCGCAGGTTCCCTTTCCCCATGGTGTTCAGCAGCTGCAGCAAAGAGGACCTAGAGGCCAGCCTGGAGAAAGGCATGGGAATGTGCCTCTTCAACCTGCCCGAAGTGAAGCAGGCTTTCGGGGGCCAGAAGTGCGGGAACGGATATGTGGAGCAAGGAGAGGAGTGTGACTGTGGCGGGCCGGAGGTAAGAGATACCCCCTGGGACCGCCGCCTTGCATCCGTGGCTGGCAAAGGAGTAGGGACTTGGAAGAATTATGCGGCAGAACGAAAGTGCTAGAAACTCACAATGGGGGGGGCGCCTGGGTGGCGCAGTCGGTTAAGCGTCCGACTTCAGCCAGGTCACGATCTCGCGGTCCGGGAGTTCGAGCCCCGCGTCGGGCTCTGGGCGGATGGCTCAGAGCCTGGAGCCTGTTTCCGATTCTGTGTCTCCCTCTCTCTCTGCCCCTCCCCCGTTCATGCTCTGTCTCTCTCTGTCCCAAAAAAATAAATAAACGTTAAAAAAAAAGAAACTCACGATGGAAAGTCCTAAACAGGCCCCCCCCCCGGAAAGTCCGAAAGAGCCCCCACCCCACCCCGCCTTGAACAGCTGTGCAAGCCAGGGCGGCCTTCTCTTGAATCTCAGAATAAGTTGTATCACTGGTTTTAAAAAGAAAGAATCTTCTCTATTGAAGGACACGGTCTAGGTGAGGCCAGCTGAGGACAAGAACAATAAATAAAGCATTTAGCTTTGAGTTTAACAGAGAAGAAAGCTTGGGGAATGCTAGCTTCAAATGGCTAATAAGCATCATTTCTTTCTCTTTGCAAAGCGAGCAACCAGAGGGGAATTTGAATAAGCAACATTCGTTTTTAACCAAGAGCTCCCACCCAAGTAGAAAAACTGCCTGATGCCGCAGCCTTCTCTGTATGCACAACCCGAGGCTCCAGTCTCCTGCCTCTTTGCTTGTTAGCTTTCAGAAGCAGTAAGCGGAAGCAGGGAACATTTGTATCCAGCAAAGGGCTTATTTAACCCTGTCTTCCAGCCAGTGTCAGGCAAATGTCTTGTTTCCGTAGGGCCCAAGATAAACTTCAGCAACATAAAAAATTATTTAACAGCCACTTTTTAATCTCCGAATGATCTTGAGAAGGAAGGAGAAAGAGAGCACACAGTGAGATCTCTTGGTAAAACAGGTGTCTCCTGGAAGCTTGGAGGAGGCAGTGTTTAGAATAAATCAAAGCAAGGAGTTTGTATAGCAAGCAGTCTGCATGTGGGATTCCCTCCCCGAGAGCTTATGCAAGCGGAAATGGTAGACGAGTTCAAGGCGGGCTTGGCTAGATTCGCAGACAGGCTTGGTGAGGGCTTAGGAAGAGCATGTTTTGGAGGGCTACTCCGAAAAGGGGAGTCTAGGGTGGAAGGAAATGTGCAGAGACCCTGGGATATCCATCGGATTCCTGTGCTCGTCAGACAGGCAACCGGTTGTAGAACCTTCTTCATATTTGTAATTCCCAAGGCTCTGCGTTTTCCCATACCAGCAGGAACGATCTTGGTCTCAGTCTGGCCAGCTCTGCAAGAACTTCAGGAGTGAATAAGCACTGGGGGATGAGGCTAGTAGAGGTGGTCCCATCAAATGCTTGTGCGTCCTTTCCAAATCCGGGATTCAACAGCGATACCAGCACTGTCCACAGCAGCGATAATTTTGTTCACGGTGTGTTGGGGGTGATTGCTGTACGGGAGCCAGTCCTCATGCACGGGGTTACAGAAACTCTTCTGAAGATTGGTGGAGGAAAACTCGAAACTGTCATGGGATGGGGGATACAACGGGGAGAGTCCTTGGGGACTTTGTTAATTACCTGCAGAAGAAAAACAAAATTAGGATAAATTGCCTGTATTTCTCAGGAGAGGCCATGTGGACTTAAAATGGTTTCTCTTTGATTGGAACTCCTCGTAATTGTTTATTTACTCTGAATAAGTTTGACAGCTCTTCCTAGAGTCACGAACTCTCAGGTGTAGAATGATCATCCGTAGTCATTGGCTCCATATTCCAACACCACCACCATCCTGTCAACGAATGTTTGAGGACCTGAAGTTTGCCAGCCACTGATGTTATGGTCCTCAACTTCGCCTCCATCGAGGAGTCATTCGGCTTTGACGGGGCGCTTGTGATCTCTCCAGGCAGGACGTCCTGGCAGGGCAGCACTGATTCAGTCAAACTCCTTCCTTAGGTAGAGCCATGTTCTGCTTGCATATAGTTCCCGACTGTACGTTTCTGTGGTTGGGTCCTTGTTTCACAGGATAAGTTCTTGATATCCGAAGAGACGACTCTCATTCTTTCCATCGACATTTCTTTCAAAGTCTGAGCAATCTTTCAAAGTTCTAGGCAAGCCTCTTACCTCAATTTGTAGTTTTTTAGTTTTTGCTTTTCAAATTGTGTCCAAGAGTATAACAACCCATATCCAGTTTCCAAACTGCTTTGACCAAAACTTTTAGTCGGCCCCGGGCTTAATTCACCTGCGCTCTTTAGGCCCCTGCCCAGCGCTCAGGCCCTGGAAATAGTCCTCACGCCTTTGCTTCGTGTTAGCCGGTGCGTTCCCTGGCCCCCAGAGGGACTCAACGTGTCACCACATCGGTGAGCGAACGGGACCAGAACTTCCCCAGCTCATAACTGGATTCCTCTTCTGCCCCCTTGCTCTCAGAAATAATCACTGTTTTCAGGAGGATGCACTGTAGACTTAATCTCAGTGCACTGTGATTAAGAATTTGTATCTACTGCCCACAACCCAAGAATGACATGGCCTTTGCAGAGAGTTCACTAACGGCTTCGTTATTCTTTTTTCTTTGGAGAACTAGTGTTCATTGGCTCTGTTGAACTTTCCTATTGAGTACTAACATAATATATGTATCAACAGATGAAGAATTTGTCTCTTGTGATACGTATAGTCCTGCAGAAGGAATAGATTCTGGGTAGTTAAAAAGGCAAGTGATTTCTGGAGCCTTCCGTACAGGGCATTGGATTTACATCAACCATAAGGATATCCTGACAACTCACTCATTCATCCAGCTAACGGGGTTGGGAAAGCAGCCTTATCTCCTTGTTTAAAGTCAATAGAATGACAGTAGCCTGCAAATATCTTTTAAACTTAGTTATCTTTCTCACATTATCAAGCCCCTTTGAAGTCAAAGCCATTCTACTTGGCTGAATTTCCATTTGAACTGCTGCTTATATTTTTTAGTGATTTGGTCGGGGGTGAGGAGGTAGTTCTTAAAGAATCTTAGGACCTAGTTTTCAGATGGCTGATTTAACGGAGACGCTCAAGGAAATGTGTCATTTGGTTAGTATGTCGTTAGTAGAGCCATTTAGACCACAGTGAACAGGACAACACTGCTGTGTATTTGACGGCACTGATCAGGAATGCAATCAATCAGTGGACTCCTTTTAAAAACAAAGCAAGTTCCTAAACTTATATAAGTCCATGAGTTAGAAACCCTTCCTGTCATCAAAGTTACAGCTATGACTTCTGGTTGGCACTTTCGTCTTACTGTATATGTTATACGCTCCGGATGTTTATAAGGTCCTTGAGCAAATTTAAAATTTCATAACTTTGGATGGATGTATAATGGGAGCAAATCGTAAACACCAAATGAGAGCATGATTCATAGAGTCTCACACAGGACACAGTTCAGAGATCCAGGATCGTCCTAAATCTTCCGGATTATCCACAAAATTTTATTCATTGCGTTTGTAATACTGATGATAACTTCATTACCAGAACATGGTTTTCAGGAGTAAAATATTATACTATTAAAATACTACATGACTGGTTTCACCCTGACGGTATATATCTTCTTCTGCTCATGTCACATCCTAAATAAAAGGGCATTACTTAATACTAAAAGGACATTAATTAATTAATTAACACGAGTTAATACTAATGACCCCATGAACTCTTCTTTCGGATAATTCATTTTCTTCTAACATGTGTAAACTCTAGGTTATTGGGATGTTCTAAAGTACAAGGACTTCATAAATGCAGTAGGTAATATGTATGGACCTTTCGGGGAGAGCCGAGCAAAGGTGCCAATCCCTTGTAGGGCTTTTGTTAGAAGAACGTGGGCACTTGTGAAGAACACCTTAACAGAGGAGGTCATTTTCCGTCCTTTCAGAGAGAGCGGTCCATCTAATATGTGATCTCTCTGTTGAAATCCCTTGCAAATCCACGGGCACATCCCACAGACCTCCTTTCCGGCCTCTTGGTCATTCTGATGTGCGTTTCGGACCTGAGAGGTGCCTTGTCCGGGTGAGGCAGCCACCTGTGCCGAGCAAGAGTCTTGGCTACCGCATGGGGCTGGAGGGCGGGGAACTGTGGTTCCACGATGGATTGGACCCCATTCCCTGCCGGCGTGCTCCAGATTAAAAAGGGTCAGTATTTGAAGAGTTGAGTTTGTACACGCCTGTGTATATTTTTAAAGTGAGTTCAGAGTGTTCTGGCGATCCTGAGACCGTTCACTACAATAAGACCTGCATGAATCAGAGGCCTCCCCACAGACCCCCAGCCACAGCCCACTTGACTGGATCGGGCAGCCCACCTTCCTATGCACGCTCCCCTTACCCTCTGTGAAAGGCACGGAATGAGTGCCGTTGATTCTTCCCAGGGATTCACAGACCTTGGCAAGCTTCACAGAAGCTTGGCTTTGCTAGATGTGAAAATAAGCTCAGGCTGGTCTTCAGCTACTTCCCTTTATGGCCCCGGGCCTTCCATGAGTAGTTGCCCCACGAGACCCTGTCAAATGAGTCCCACTCTCCTCCCCAGGAATGTACGAACGTCTGCTGCAATGCCACCACCTGTACCCTGAAGCCGGACGCTGTGTGCGCACACGGGCTGTGCTGTGAAGACTGTCGGGTGAGCTCTCTCGGCCCCGAGGCCACCCCCAGGTTCAGGTGCTTCCACAATGACACAGGACGAGCGAGGCAATAGGATGGCTTCCCGGCCCCTCTACTGTGAAAACCGTAACTCCTCACCGTGCAAGCCGGTGTCCCCCACTGTTGTCCAGTCTTCGTGTGAAATGCACACTTTATTTATGTATCTATTTTTTTTTTGAGAGAGAGAGAGAGGGAGAGAGAAAGCATGAGCAGGGGAGGGTCACAGAGAGAGGGAGACAGAATCCCAAGCAGGTTCTGCAGTGTCAGCGCAGAGCCCGACGCGGGGCTCGAACTCACGAACTGTGCCATCAGGACCTGAGCCGGAACCAAGAGTCAGATGCTTAGCCCACTGAGCCCCCCAGGCGCCGCCTCCAATCTTCGTGTGAAATGCACACTTGAATGCTAAGTCATCGGTGATCAGTCATTTATTTACGGGTTGGAAAGGAATTGTTCCCCAAAACTCTGGCTCACTGTGACACACTTCAGTTGTGCTGCTGGACGCTGGTAAGATGCGTGGTCCTATTACCATGATGGGAGCAGCTAGAGAGAGAGTCTCCACCCCGGTCACTCAGCCTCCGCTCTATCCCAAGAACATCTACCTGCCGGGCTGAGAAGCCACGCGGGTCGTTCCAGGGAATATATGTAACCACCTCGATCTTGATGTCCTCCCAACACAAGGCTTGGCCCACCCAGCCCGAACAATGGCGGCCCTTTGATACTTTGGTCATTGCTGCTGCCATGACAGATTGCCATTTGTTTGGGCAATTCCATTGTTTGTCTCGTCATTCAGAGCTGAGATCTAACTGAGGAGAAGCCTGAGCTTTTGATTCAAAGGTTCCAAGGGTAGACTTTCTTTCTTTTTCAATTAAGCGATTGATCTTGGCATTCTGCTCGCAGGAAACTCCCTCTCAGCTCCCCACCCAGCCCCGTGATTCAGAAGTGCATTACAGCATCTTACGTTCAGCCTAAAATATCCATCCTGCCCTTTCTCTCCGTGATTAACTTCTGGGGGACATTCAAGGAAGCTGACACCACCACCACCCCCACCCCGGGCACACAGCTGCTGGCCATGGAAGGGGGCGGGCGGGGGTGGGGCAGGTCGCTGGCCGTGTAGCCTCTGACAAGCCATTCTGAGCCTCGGTTTCTTCAACCACAGAAAGGTGAGGCATTGGCCGATGGTTCCTAACATCTTTTACAGCTCCCTTGCTTCACTTCTGCCCCGTGAAGTCCTACAGACAGGTTTCCAAGTCCATGATTTGATGACAAAATGAAATACAATTGTCATGGAGCCCTTGGAATGATTTTTGTCCTCTTGGCCACAAGTGCTAACACTGTAAGAGCAAACCTCATCTTAAAACACGTGGCGACTAGAGATCTTCAGAATTAAGGAGCCCATCAGCTGGTACTCCCTTCCCATGCCTCCTTTGAGATGACAGGTACCACCAACCAGCCTGTCTCCTCATCAGAAGACCCTAATGCCGCATGAAATTAAAAACAGGCAGCTCTTGGGGCTCCTGGGTGGCTCAGTTGGTTAAGCGTCCAACTTCAGCACAGGTCACCATCTCCTGGCTCATGAGTTCGAGCCCCGCATTGGGCTCTGTGTTGACAGCTCAGAGCCTGGAGCCTCCTTCAGATTCTGTGTCTCCCTCTCTGCCCCACCCTTGCTCACGCTCTCTCAAAAATACATAAACATTAAAAAAATGAAAAAAAAAAAAAAGAGGCAGCTCTTGATTACCCCCCTCCCTAGTGGAAAGGTAAACCCCAGAGCCCAGAGCAAGATTCTGTGTATTTAACGACTCTCCGTGTCTCTCTCTTCCCTTGGGATCCTTGCCCCTTGATGTGAGGCCTCGGGAGGATGGCCCGGCCCCGGCTCCGGCCCAGGAGCACTGCCGGGAAGCCGCTTCCCTTTCCTGCAGTGCACGGGCCATAAACAGCCTCTCCTTCCAGCTAAAGCCTGCGGGGACGGCATGCAGGGACTCCAGCAATTCCTGTGACCTCCCCGAGTTCTGCACGGGGGCCAGCCCCCAGTGCCCGGCCAACGTGTACCTGCACGACGGGCACCCGTGTCAGGGAGTCGACGGCTACTGCTACAACGGCATCTGTCAGACCCACGAGCAGCAGTGCGTCACGCTCTGGGGACCAGGTATGTGGCCACCCCCGGTGGGCGTGGGGCTTGGGGAGCTCGCTCGGTTCCCGTAAGCGTCGCTCCCGCCGCGCCGTCTGCAAAGCTTCCCTCCCTTCAGCTGGAGCGATTGGCTCCCTGGAAGACCTGGGGCCGTGCCGGGCGCTGGGCGTGCAGAAAGGGGCACTGCCCGGGGCGCGGCCCACTGAGAGCTGTGTGAACGCCTGCTGTGCGCCCTGTGGAGCGATGGGGAGGACCAGCCATGACCCCTGCCCTCAGATGGCTTAACAGTCGTTGGGCGGACAGATAGAACTCCCTACCCACTCTGATCACGTAAGTGCTTCTTGGTGCTCGGGCAAGAGAAAGTCCTGGCAGACTTGCCGCGTGAGGAGCCTGTGACCAGGAAGGACAAGGAGGGCTCACTCCTGACGCAGGGAGCAGCGAGCTGGCATGTGGAAAGGGCTGCCGGGGCGGGAGGCCGGGACCCCAGGGTGCAGAGGAAGAACATGCAGACAGGTGTTGGAGGGCCTCGCGAGGCATCCGGGTTCTGAAAGCAGAGTGGTGGACGTGTGCGTTCCCGAAAAAGGCACCCAGGCGGGCAGGTGGCCAGGAAGCAGCTGCTGGGGCAGTTAGGGGCTGTCCACTCCGTGCTTCCTGTGTGCAGGATGCTGGGCCAGATGCTCCGTGTGACTCACCCCTTCCAGCCCTCCAACAGGAGAGAGGGGAAATGACTATGGTTCAGAGAAGGTGCAGCTGAAATTCAGAGACCGGAAGTCAGCTTCCTGATGGTGTAAGGCTGGGATTGGCGCCCAGGCCCACGGACCCAAGAGCCATACGTAATGCACGCTGTGCGGCTGTGCCCAAGAGCCAGGCCTAGAACAAAACTTCCACGGAAGCTCCACGGTGGAGTGGATGCTGGGACGCCACAGGAGGCAGAATCGGGCCCCTGGACGTGGCTCTCTGTTGCCCATCTTCTGGGGCCGGGAGTCCAGGGCCCCCGTGGGGCAGCCGGGACCCTGAGGACTCCTCACCCCAGCGTTTGCTGCCTCTGCCCCCCCCCACCCCGGGATTCCAGCAGCGAATCCAGTCCCCCAGAGAGCACTTTCCAAGAGTGCGGCCCCCACCCCGTCTTGTCCTTCTCCCTCCTCCCCGCCGCCTGCGGAGGTGACCTCAGTGCTGGCCGGGGACACCAGCTGTGGCACGGCCACCGTGGTCAGCCAGGCAGAGAGCCAGGCAAGCTCTAGAGGAAGGGAAATCCGATATTGGGTCTTTGTCAGACTTTTCACGTGTGAGGTTTCGGTTTCAGGGGTGATGAGGGCAGAAAATGGTGGCCGGTCATCAAAGCTTGGGTGTTCAGCGGGGTGTGAAAGCAGTGGCCAAGCAGGGAGAGCAAGGACCGGTGTTTCTGAGGGTTGAGCCCGCGGCCCCACCAGCCGAAGATGGCCCTCTGTACTTGGACGGCCCTGAGGGGCAAGGAGGAGCAGCGCGGTGCAGCCGGGGGCTGGTGCGGCCCGTTCGCCGTGTCTGGGAGGAGCTCTCCCGGGTCTCCTCAGGCTCTGCGGGTCCACTCGGGCACAAAGGGGTAGGCCCTCAAAATACACGCATCAGGGCCGCCTGGGTGGCGCAGTCGGTTAAGCGGCCGACTTCGGCTCAGGTCACGATCTCGCGGTCCGTGAGTTCGAGCCCCGCGTCGGGCTCTGGGCTGATGGCTCGGAGCCTGGAGCCTGTTTCCGATTCTGTGTCTCCCTCTCTCTCTGCCCCTCCCCCGTTCATGCTCTGTCTCTCTCTGTCCCAAAAATAAGTAAACGTTTAAAAAAAAATTAAAAAAAAAAAAACGATACACGCGTCGGATGCCCGGCTGGGCTCTGAGCGGGTCAGCGACTTCAGACAGCTTTCAGTCAAGCGAGGTCACTTTGGGACAGCGGCTACCACTGCAGGCCACATCCTCGTGGCCTGAAGCACCCCTGGTGGCCGCTCCTCCCCAGCCTTTCTCCGGACTCAGCAGTCTCCCCGCTTCTCGAGTTACAGGGGGAGTCATGACGCTCCCTTCCAAAACGGCCTTCTGTGGCCAGAGCACACACAGCACTTGGAGCCTTTGGAGGCCAATGTGCTCTCCGATGTCCCGCTGTATTGCAGCGTCTGGCCCCGTTTCCAAAGTGAGGTCAGCTTGAACTCCGCGGCTCTCTCTGAGCCATCGCCACCGTGTGACTCAGCTGGCTGCGCGCCTTAGATTCCTGGTGACCGAGGCGGGTATTTATCTCATCGGATCAGGCCTTCTCAAGCTGCCTGACTAGAGAGAGAGAGAGAGAGAGAGAGAGAGAGAGAGTGCGTGTGCCAGACAGGCAGGCAAACCGACAGCCTGACTCATGGACTGAGCTTTTCAAAAGCGAGAGCAGTAGGAAGTTCCCTCCTGTGGATTCTCAGCGTCCTCGTGGCTGACGGTGAGGCTGGCGGCCTGGCGGCCCCGGGGACCCGCACCAGCTCCTGAGGAGGGCCGCTCCCCCGGAGCTCCTCGCTCGCCTCCCCTCTCCCCTGCCGCCCCCCTGAGGGCTGAGGAGGCCTGTGCCGGGGCGGTGGCGCGGTCGCCGCAAGAGGGTCAGTGCACGTGGACCGAGACTTCCTGGCATCAGGGAGGCTCAGCGTTCCTGGAAATGACAAGCTTGGGGACCCGCCTCAGGCTCGGGGCTTTGGGGGTTCAGTGCACTCCAGCCACCTCCTTCTCAGGACTTCAGGTCGCTGCACCAACTTCCTCAGGAGGGCGGAGGACGAGCGCACCAGAACCAGAGGGGGCCCTCCACACCGGGGACCTTCTCAGAAGGGCCTCTGACCGCCTCCTGGGTAAACGCGGCGGGTTCCTTCCCTTCCCTGGCAGTGCAGCTGTCTTGTGGTCTAGTTCAAGGGCGCTGTATGAGTTTCCTGCGGCTGCTGTAACAAATGACCACAAATTTAGCGGCTTACGACAACACAGATTTGTCTTCTGGCCCTGCGAGTTGGAAGCCCTAAAACCGAGACGTTGGCAGGGGGACGTTACTTTTGCAGGCCGTAGGGGAGAGCGTATCCCTGCGCCTCCGCCAGCTTCCTGAGGCCCCCGCGTTCCTTGACCCGTGGCCCCTCCTTCATCTTCGAGGGCGGCAGCACGTATCTTCCAGGCTCTGTCTCTCTCTGGCTTCTCCTTCCTTGCTCACATCTTCTCCGAGTCTGACCCTCCTGCCTCCCTCTTTTAAGGGCCCCGTGATTACATTGCACCTATTCAGACCATTCAGGAGACTCCCCACCCCCCCCCCAAATCCTTAATCACATCTTCAAAGTCCCTTTGCCACGTAAGGTCGCATATTCACGGGTTCCGAGGATTAGAATGCGGGCCCCTTTGGGGGGCCCTTTTTTGCCTGCCACAGGTGCTAAACAGACCCCTTACTAGCCAGGTGACCTTCGACAGGTCTACTCAACCTTTGTGCCTCATCTGTAACATGGGGCTTGTCAGATGCCTACCCTGTGGGTATGTCATCGTCCTCTAACCCAGCCTGTTAGCCATCGTATGTAAGGTGTCCCATGCAGTAGCATGCTAGATGCGTGGCTCCTAGTAAGTCCGAACTCTGCAAATAAGATGGGATTGAGCTCACAGGACGCTCAGGGACTAGTGAGCAAGATTCTCTGAGTGCCGTGATGTGGTGAGGCATGGTCAAGAGAGGGCTCAAGCCGGAGAGTGGTATGGAGCCAGCCAGGAAGGCGTCCTAGATGAGGTTGCCTTGGAGAAGTCGTTTGGCAGGGGTGGGAGGGGAAGGGTATTTCCTGCATACGAAATAGCAGCGGTCAAGGTGCAAAGGGGCCATCCCAGGGAACTTCGGGCTTGTCCAGAGCTTGGTCTGTGACCTGGAGAGCAGAGATCCTCATTTCTTGCCCCGTTCTCTCATTTATTAAATATTCATCAACGGCCTGCTAGTCTAAGATGCCGACTCAGGAGCCCGAGTCTGCCAGAGTGATGTACTTCCCACAGTCCCTCTGCACTATCTCCTGGACCCGGAGTGGAGTCGGGATGTGACCGTCACAATCCCGGGGCGGGGGTGACTTGCTCAGCCAGGCCCCCGGCCAACCAGAGGGACCAGGCTGGGAACATTCTAATGCCGTGTTACAGTGGTTGGTTTGAATCAGCTTTTCACCATTCAGAAAAGTAAAACTTACTGTCAAGGACACGTTTGCCATATTTCGTTTCACCATGATTAGCAAATGCTTGGGGAGCTGAAGCATGTTTGCATTGGGGTCATTTTAGGCTCCCCACGAGCCCCAGTAGCCCAGAGCTCCAGGATTCATTGAGCGGCTACTCCTGGCCTGTGCCACGCGTACCCCAGTGACCCAACTGAACTGTGGAGCCATCCGGAAGTGTCCATTTACGCTCAGGAAGTCCATTACTCTCCAGACCTGGCTACCCAAACGCTGACCGGAGAAAGCCCTTCCTTCCAGCTAACTATTCCCTTTTGAAATGGACATTTCTTAAAGCAGCATCATATTTCAATAAATTCATCCTGCTTCCAAATCTTTCTACAAATAGAATGATAGAAAATTCAAAACATATGCCTCCAAACCCCAACTAGCAAAGTAAGATACTTTTCTTCTTCTGTTTTTTTTTTTTTTAGGTTTATTTATTTATTTTGAGAGAGACAGAGTGCAAGATGGGGGAGGGGCAGAGAGAGAGAGAGAGAGAGGCAGAGAGAGAGAACCCCAGGCAGCATCCAAACAGTCATGGCAGAGCCCGATGTGGGCCTCAATGCAGGGCTCGAACTCCCCCACCATGAGGTCATGACCTGAGCCGATCGGGGTCAGATGCTTAACGGACTGAGCCACCCAGGTGCCCCCAATGTAAGATACTTCTAGAATACCTTTTGGGGTCTTTGTTCATTTGTCTCCTTTCCTAATTAATGTCGGTAATGTTCTTGTTGGCGAGGAGCTTAAATTCTTCCCTGTCCCCAATTTTTCTTCCACAAATGTTACATCTCAAGACTTTATATGTTGGTGTCAAACACAGA